ATCTCCATCAATTACGTAAATAATGGGAAACTTTGGAAGCGTGATGAGATAATTGATGATGCATTTGCATATATGGTATCACAAGAAATTGATAAAGAAGTTGAGAATCCTGAACCAAAGTCTATGATTGAATGTCAGAAAAGACATGATTGGGATAAGTGGAAAGGTGCTATTCAAGTCGAGTTAAATTTACTTAATAAACAAAAGGTTTTTGGACCTATTACCATTATACCCAAAAACATAAAACCTATTGAATACAGATGAGTTTTTGTCAGAAAAAAAAATGAGAAAAATGAGATCACAAGATATAAAGCTCGCCTTGTAGCACAGGGATTCTCTTAGAGGCCTGGGATCGATTATGATGAAACATATTTCCCTGTTATGGATGCGATTACTTTCAGATACTTGATTAGTTTGGCCATTCATGAAAATCTTGAGATGCGTCTCATGGATGTTGTGACTGCTTACTTATATGGATCGCTAGACGCTGATATTTATATGAAAATTCCAGAAGGAATTAGAATACCCGAGGCACTAAAGTCCAAACCTAAAGAGTTATGTGCGATAAAACTGCAAAGATCATTGTATGGCTTGAAACAATCCGGGCGTATGTGGTATAATTGTTTGAGTGAACAATTACTAAAACGGGGATACATAAATAATCAAATACGCCTGTGTGTTTTTATAAAAAGATCACAAGATGGAGTTGTGATAATTGTTGTCTATGTCGATGATCTTAATATTATTGGGACTACAAATGAAATCAAAGAAGCAGCCACTTTACTAAAAGGCGAATTTGAAATGAAAGATCTCGGACAGACCAAATATTGTCTCGGCTTGCAAATAGAACGAGTCCAAAATGGGATATTTGTCCATCAATCTAATTACACTAAAAGAATACTGAAACGATTCAATATGGACAAGGCGAATCCACTTAGTACCCCAATGGTCAATCGAACATTAGATGTTGAAAAGAATCCGTTTCGACCTTGTGATGAAGATGAAGAAATACTTGGTCCTGAAATACCATATATGAGTGCAATAGGGGCTCTTATGTATCTTGCTAATTGTACCAGACCAGATATATCTTTTGCTACCAACTTATTAGCAAGATATAACTCAGCACCTACGAGGAGACATTGGAATGGAATCAAGCATATATTACGTTATCTCCAAGGGACAATCGATTTGGGATTGTTTTACTCTAATGATAAAAAAACATGAAATAATCAGTTTTGCAGATGCAGGATATCTATCAGACCCCCATAAAGCAAGATCTCAAACTGGTTACGTTTTCACGATTGGTGGAACTGCATTTTCTTGGCGCTCCCAAAAACAAACGTTAGTTGCGACGTCTTCAAACCATGCTGAAATCATTGCACTTCATGAAGCAACTAGGGAAAGCATCTGGCTCAAAAACATGACTCAACATATTCAACAAGCCAGTGGACTATCGAACAATAATGACCCGACGGTGATATACGGAGACAATGCAGCATGCGTCGCTCAAACTAAAGAAAGATACATTAAGAGTGACAGAACTAAACATATCCCGCCAAAGTTCTTCTCATATGCGCAAGAGCTTGAAAGAAACAAATAAATCAAAGTTCAATACATTCAATCAAGCGATAATGCAACATATTTTTTTACGAAGGCGCTTCCGACGACAATGTTTCGAAAGCAGATACACAATATTGGAATGAGACATCTTCGGGATTTGCACAGATGATAACTCGAGGGGGAGTATGTGCGGCTGTACTCTTTTTTCCTTATCTCGGTTTTTTCCTACAGGGTTTTTCCATATAAGGTTTTTAACGAGACAGCATAAACGCACATTTAATAGTGGTAATTCCAAGGGGGAGTGTTATGTAAAAGTGGTGGAATTTAACACTAATCTTATCATCTATATTAATTTATTTAAATTGTGCATTGAAGTGTGTGCCAATGTGACTATAAAAGGGGCCAAGCACTTTGTAAAGTTTGTACGAAAAAGAGAAATAGAAAAAAACATGTTGTGATTTATATCCAATTTTTACATTGTGTTCTTTATATTCCTCGCATTTTATAACAATATAATTATTGTATGCACTACATTTTATAACAACATTTTTTTTTTTAACTGTGGTGCAATCTATTTAATTTTTTCTCATGTATGATTTTTTTGGTGATGATTCTCTTTTAGAGATGAAATTAATTTCTGAAAGTGGGAAGTCATGGAAATATTTTGAAGTATAATGTTAATATTAATAGGCAATGTTATGAAATGAAACAGATCGTTTGGTTTCCCTGACATCAACTGCAAGCAAAAAAAAACCGTATTCAAAGATCGAGCAGCCTAGTGCATATATATTTATTTATGCGTTCTGTTTCAAATGACAATAGTCAGTGAAACAAAATATTAAGATTTATTAAATTGACAACACATCCAACAACAGATGAGCAATAGGAAACCAAAATATCACTCGACTCATCTTCTTCCGTTCCGTTGAGCAGGAGATCTGAAGTGATCAAGGTGGTGGGCTGATGATGATAGTGATTAAAGAACTTGACAGCCAAATCTGAAATATATATATATATCACTGAATGAAATATGCAAAAGATAAGCACTAAATATGTCAGTTTGTATGCATACATATTGACATAATCACCAGTAACAGAGAAGCATAATGCAACTAGGTCCTCATAAATCTCATCAGTTCTACTATCGTATAACAACCATCCGACTTCTATTTGCTATGGAGTCCATCAATCCCCTTGTTCATCAGAGAGAAACACATGCACTATGGTCAATCTTATATTGGCCAATGAAGCTATTATAGTCTATTAACTTACATACGAACTTTGTAATTGTTGGAGGAACTATCAACAGAAAGGTTTTGGAATCAACAACTGAGTCCCAACATACACTATAGGTTGCATTTTCAAGTGGAGATCTGAAGCATAATTCCAAAAGTTACTCTACATACCAGCATACTATCAAAAGATCAGTTTGATAGAGTTAAGGGTGAAAGCAAAAGATATTAATTAAGAACATAACTTAAAAACCAACTCGGGACGAATCCCACCAAGCCTAAGGGCGATACTTTGGAAACAACTTTCTGCCCAGCTTAAAGCCGACAATCCTATGCAAAAAGATATATCATAGGCATCAATATTTGTCTATTAAATAGAGTCCAAGCCCTAATAAATATTCCAAGCAAATGGGTCCAAAATCCCAATTATAATAACTGAAATATAAATGTATCTCTAACAATTCTCCTGCCGTTCCGTTCAAAACAACCTTGTCCTCAAGGCTGACCGTCTTCAAAATACATCCCAAATCCTTACTGCAAGCAGACAAATCGTTGTGGCCCAATTCCAAATTCATGTGGAATAGATACCCGTCGCCGGTTCACCGCAACTCGCCTCGACTATGCCTACACACGTTCACTATCGTTCTTTGGAACTCAGTGAGACCATGGCTGCTGCCGGCGATTATAGATCATCCTTCCCCTCAGCCACCCATGTGATTAGCTATCCGACCGGACCAGGCTTCTCCCATCCACAATGGTTCAAATTGCGGCCTATTGAAAATGCAAACGACCGGACCCTTCTCGACTCGACTTCTCCATTGCCTGCCAAGCTTCACCACAGTCAAACGACACCATGCCGCTTGATGCCCACCACCTTTATCCCATCGACGAAGTTATATAAACTCTCATCTTCCACAGTCCTTCACGAAAGTCCCTCGTCTCGCTGTCATCTCATCGCTAATCAATATAACCTGATCTTTGACCAACCCTAGAGTAGCCGTTGAGACAGTAGGGAAGAGCAGGTAGTGCATGTAAAGGACTCGCCATCTGGAGAGTAGGTGTAGGTGTAGGTGTAGGTGTTGTAGCAACCACAGGAAGAGGAACATAGGCTGCAACCATAACAAATATAGAAGAACTATAGGAGGAGGAACAAGTTCCACCACGGGTCCTGGGCCACTATTTGCGCTGGCAACAACTTTGGTAGGGTTGCTTTCTCACAAAGTAGTTGCTTCATCAATTGTTCCATTCGGCTAGGTTGTGCTAAAAAAAATCCATAGGTTGGTGTCATTACTGAGGTAATACGCTTCTCTATCGTGACTCTGTGTTTCCCCATCCGATTTTTGGATCCGGCAGGTCGGACCAATTGATAGAGTTAAGAGTGAAAGCAAACAAAAATTAAGAAAATATAAAAGAACTATTCGGGAAAAATCCCCCAACCTAAGGTCGATACTTAGGAACTCCCTACCCAAGCTTAACCGACCATCCTATGTAACAAAAGCTATCCGAAGCATCAATATTAGACTACTTAAATAGAGTCCGAAACCTAATAAATATTCTAAGCAAATGGGCCCAAAGCCCAGTTATTGAAATAAATGAAATAACAATGTATCTCTAACACAATTATTGAAATAAATGATACACAATGTATCTCTAACACAGTTCCTACAGCTTTTTGTTTTTTATTGACAAGCTTACTTGATCCTATCTTTGGGATGGATAACTCTTCCATAGTTTCCACTCGGTAATTATAAATCAACGAAGTTTAAAAGTTCACCATCCTAAAATCAGTTCTACACAAGAATACGAGGGTCTAAAGTCCAGAGCCTTGAGCAAATCACCTTACTATTCAAACAAGGATCACTGAAGTCTTCAGTGATAACCTAATTTATGAATCCCAACAATAGCTATTAACCCAAGAAGCAATGCCAAATCAAAAAGTTATGACCTAGGATCAGTGGTGCAGGTGCGACAATAACTACAGGAGCATGTACGCATAAACTGCATAAAACAGAAGAATCACAGCATAAGGCTTATAACTAGTCGTGCATCTCAAAGTGACATATGAAATTATTCATGACTCGTTACTGGATAAGAGGAAATATAAATAGAAAATATTTGAATAACATCAACCAAAAGTGGCAAATTACAACATTGATGAAATAAATTGAAAAATCTCTATATACCTTGATCATTGGGGAACATTGGAACCTAATCTATATTGATATAAGAATTCTGACTCAAGTGTCTGTTTGCCATTTCTCCCTGAGAAGGTAAATTGAAGAGGGATTATAAAGCTATTTAAAAATAACGACGACTGGACTCATAGAGAAGCAGTACGACTGACATGTTCAGGTAAATCATCTCTTACACAATACGGACATCAACATCATTTCTGTCGTACCTTTTCCCACCTATCATCCGAGTTTGCCTGTGCATCGCTATTAAGCTACAGACAGCAAAATTATACATCAGATGCATTTTAAATAGTGAAATGCTTAGTATCATCTCATGATGAAGTCAAAAACTACCATCATGTTGATAACTGCTGTAAGTTCTGTTTGTTCCTCATTCATCGTGTTCCATGTCATTGATTTTAGACGAGGAAAAGTCACCTAAGGAACACAATTGCATAAATATACAAAAAAGAAAAGAATATGAAACACAATTGGACCATTGGAAAAGATTTGCACATTTACCCTAACCAGTTATCATTAGTGCGAAATACAAGAGCGCACCTGGTCTTTTGCTACATCCTCTCGCCATTCCTTTTGAAACTTTTGCAGTAAAAGAGTCAACAATCTTTGCAATTCAGGCAAGACTTGAGCAGGAAACAACTTCTGAATCTCATCTCTATCAATATTATCATGAACACACCTCCTAATCAATACTCGCAGGCAAACCAATAGCTGGAAACAGAGAAGGAAAGAATCATGCCACCATTTTAGGTCCATTAAAGTGCACAACATGAAAATTTTCGTGGAAAGCAATTCGAAACGAAATTCCCCAAATGAAATCAAATTAGAGTAGCAGCAAAATAAAGGTGAAGAAGAGAAAAAAACAAAGCATCCATGAGAGAGAGAGAGAGAGAGAGAGAGAGTAAAGAACAGGAATGTTACAGGGTCGAGGTTGGAATCGTCTGGGGGCAGCTGAAGAATATCGCGAAAGATTTGCCGGTCGGCGGCGTCAAGGCCAGTGCGGCGGGTGCGCCACAGGGCTTCGAGTATGTATTCCACCGACTCTTTGGAACTAGCTCTCAACAGAAGAGGCAAATGGCCCCACATCCTATCATTCCCATCTCCCATTTCAGCAGACCTATTTCAATGGCCGCTACTACTGGTAGTAATGCTAGTATTTTTTAACCCGTCCAACTAAATATTAAATTAAATAAAGGAAAAAAAAAAAGGGACACTTCTTCTAAAATCCCTATTCCCTTTTCTAAATTCCTTGTCAGTCCCTTCTCTATTTTTTTTCCTCTACACTCCCCACCCCCTTAATTTTCTTCCTCCTAACTCCCTAATATTAAATTAAATCAAAAATAAAACAAATAATGACATTATCCCACTACAATTTACATTTACATATTATTTTATTATTTCTCTCTCTTTCCACTATTAACTTTTCTAATTTTTTTATTTTTTTTTTCTTTTTATCTTTCTTCTCCACATATTTTTTATTATTTTCTTTTTATCATCTTCACTATTTATC